TTAATCTTAGCCACCAAATTTCATGAACGCACATCACGTCAAAATTTAAGATACCGTCTTCACCATCTGGATGCTTGGTGGTCCACTATAGTGCGTTTTACTAGGAGTTTTACTTCTCTGTGGAATTGTTTACCACCGGACCGGAATTTTCCGGACCGGTATGACTTAGGGGCCTTCGAGAAAGAAGCTTACTCATTTTTAAAGGGCCGGTAATACATCTGCAATTCCATTGATGTTCGAGTCGCACGCTCGTTTGCCCCTATTCTATAAAAAACACAGGCTGCGGCATTCTCAAACTTATAAGAAATATCTCTTTTACTCATAGTTAGGCTTCGTGGAATGGGCTAAGATATATGATCGTAAGTTACATACATGGATACTAAAATGATCAGGAATAAGAAAAACCTCATGCGTGGTATAGCTAAATTGTATTTTATTGTTTTTAAAAGTATTCTCCGTTAAACTTAATGCACTTTTCCATTCATGCAAAATAACAGTAATTCCAGTCTGAAGTTGATGTTGACAAAATGGCTGATTTGTACGCTTCCACAGCTGCGTCGAGGTCTTCAAACCGTTGACCACGTAATAAATCTTTCCTTCTAGGGAATGTAAAGAAATCGTTTGGGCTCAAGTCAGGACTGTACGAAGGATGGCTCATCAGCTCAACGTTTTCCTGCTTCAAAAATCATTTGTCTTACGAGCCGTATAAGGGCTCGCATTATGGTGATGTAAGATTATGCAATTTTTCGGATTTCGGCTATCATTTCTGGCAAAAAAACCGTGATATACCACTCAGCGGTAACCGTTCTGCGTTCCTGTACGAGTAAAGGAATTGTAGCAACATGCCCCTTTTTCGAGACAAACGTAGCGACCATTTTCTTTGACACGCTGCGGGAGTGAACCACTTTCATTGGTTTGACCTAGTCTTCGAAGACCTAAACTGCTGACTGATGTTTTCTCTCAGGTTCGTATGAATAAATCCATGATTCGTCAGCTGAGACGATATTATAAATGGCATTTGACTTCCCTCCGTTGAAGCGTTGCAGAGTATTCCGGCACCAATACGAGCCGCCTTTTGCTCTTCGGACAAATTGTGGGGAACCCAGCGGGAAACTAGCTTTCTTACACACAGCTCATTATGTAATATCGACTGAATTGCAGTCATTACGATACTGATAACAGCCCGATATATATATGCTCGTATGTCACATGATGGTCATCTAATATAATAAGTTCGCACAGCTGCGATGTTTTCAGGCGTGACCGCTGTTCTAGGTCGACCTGCAGAAGAAACAGTGCTGAGCGACACACGACCGCCTCCAACCGTCTCCGCCGTTTGACTCAGTGCTTCAACATCATAAATCGAAACAAATTCTCTGAGACATTCAACTTGAGATAAGCCACGAAAATTGTGATAAATTATGGCATGGAAATGTTCACGAGTGAGCTCCATTTCTGTTAACGACGTGTCAACTTTAAACCAACATAGTTTTTGTTTTAAAAAAGAAATTAAAAATTTTTTTAATTATTTGAATGTCATTAAGATTCTAAGAAGATTCTAAGCCAATATTCAAATTCTAAAAAAGCTTTTATTGTAACTTAATCCGAAATATTCTATTCCCGATCATTTCAGTGTGCACCTCCGTATGAGTGTGGTCTTTACTATGTCCAGTATGAAAATTCGCTCTAGAACAAAAATATTTAAGGAATGCAGTAAGCAATCATTGTCGTTTTGGTAATTTTACTTAGTAAAACAGGTACGATATCGAAACTGGACTACAAGATGTGTCATTAAGGAATGCAGTAAGTCTTTCTGGTCGGTACATACGACAACGATTTATCGTTGCAATCTGGCGGCGCAGGTCATTTGTGCAGTTTTATCGAACGTGTGTACAAAAATCAGCGCAGATTTTTTGGTTGGTGCAAGCCATCGGAGCAAGGTTTAAAATCTATTCGATAAATCGTTGTCGATCGCGTTTGGACAGTTTTATCGTAATGTGTGTACGGAAGTCGGACCAATCATTCAGTTCGTTTGCAAGTTCGTTCGTTTCAGGAATGATTTGACTGAGAGCCTGCTTTGATATCAACGTAGAAAACTTCATACATTTGTACGGGCGACCTGTAAATAAAAACCTCAGAGTTTCATGAGATGGCCACATGAGAATCTTTCATGAGAACTTGTTGCTTCTCTCATCACGGTATTGCTTTATTGTATTAGCGGTGTAACTAAAAACAGAACGTGTAAGTCCCTTCATTCATTCTCAAATAATTGTGCCAGTCTTTTGGGGAATTTTAACTCTTTTAATAAATTTATGTGAGAGTATGACTTTCTTTTAAGAAGCCAATCCCCACACCACACACTACCTGATTTTCTTTTCTTTTTACACAAAACAAGCCAGGCAAGCGCAAGGGCTTCATCGTCTTTCATCACGAATGACGTGTTTTTCTTCTGAGTTTCTGCCGAGAACTGGCGATCGACGCAGATATAGTAGATGTGTGGACGCACTACCGACGTTCGATAAACTGCGCAAATAAACTGTGCAGTTCGTTTGTGCAGTTTTATCGTTGCCGTGTATACCGGGCTTAAAAGCTAGAAACTCTCTACGATTAGTTTTGCTATTGTTATTAAAGTGTAGATGTAAGGAAACGGGCGAATTTGGGCCTAACGTTACACAAGTGAAATAGTTATCAATATTTTTTACAGTTTTTTTGTAGTTAATAATGAAATATTAAGCAGTTTTATCATGGTAAAAGAAATAAAATATTTAATAAAAATGATACTGACTTCCGTTATTTTCATTTTTAAACAATGCTGCCGGATGAAATAGGTTAGTTCATCGATTTTAATACAAAAATAGAAAAAAAGACAACAAAAAGTGATTCAGTGTTTTATTCTTTATGTAAGTTTAAGAAACTTATTATTTAAATAATGGTTTCCTCGTGACACTTCAACGTTTCAAAAAACTCGTAAAAATAAATTGAATGAATAGATTAATAAATCGATTTCATAATCGATTATTAATGATTTATACAGGCCACAAAGCGGAAATGTCAACGTTAGTTCAAAACTCAAACGTCAATCAAGTCGTTTGTTACGTTTGTTTGGCTCTGAGCTTGCGGTAGTAGTGAATATTTCCCGTTGTTTTGTGTATAAAGGCTTCTGACGGTTTCTTTTCTGATTTTATAAGAATACATGTGCAAAATAATAACTTAAATGATTTTCCCCAGCTCACACATAGTGATTTAATAAAAATATCTTTAGGTATTTATCCAATTAAGTAGGCTAGGTCCCATTATGGAGAACACATACGACAAGATGGGAGATATGAACTAGAAGTGTGCCGAGAAACGGTCAGCAGCCTACTAAGAGAGCTGTCAATATCCAACCATTCTAGCAGGCTATTAAGAGGTCGATTAAAATTGAGACATACTTAAGCTCAAAAACATATTTTACTAACAAGTCTATGTATTTTACATATATTTTAGTTGACAGTTCTCTTAATAGTGGAGAGGCCATCAAACAGTATTATTTTAATTGCTTGATAGGAAAAAGAACTGTAGGTTGCTGTTGTCATGTAATGTCCATAATATGGTACCGAAGCTGGGCAAGACATCAAGAAAATTTAATACCGCATAAACCGTTTTTAGACGATATTTTATTTGTTTATGATGAAGTGGACGATCAATAAATCATTAAAAGAGAAAGTGTTTTTAATTCATACTCCCTCTGCTTTTTTATAATCATTTCAAACCTCTAGAATTTAGTTGGACGGCGGCGTCTGAATCCTCTGTGCAAATGTCCTACAATACATAAAATTATGGTAAAGTCTAGTTTACAATAAAGTCTAATAATTATTTTCTTAAAGTGTAATGTGACAGCTTGGTGTAAGATTAACATTGTAAGCATAACGTAAGCAATAACATTATTTTTCTACAAACAAATAACATCCTACACTTTTTTTCTACCATGAAGCAGTCGTAAACATTTTAGTTTTTTTTTAAAATGGTATTGGTATATAAATAAAATAATGCAGTAATCGTTACTGTAACATCAGACCCAGCTTTCTATGAACTTTCGCCCGTATCCTTTCAGGTGTTCTTTATGAATAAGAATATTAGTAATAATTTACTAACGTCAAGGTTTAAAATATTTGACTCATACCGAATTATGATTTTTTTTTATTATTCTAAGCCAGCACTTAACTACTATCCCTGTTGATGGTTAGTGGTGATGTAGTCTAAGATGGTGAAGCGTACTGACTTAACGAAAGCCCGTTCACTCTTGCCTTGAAGACACATTGTAATCGGAGGGAAACACAGATGCTGGCAACTTACTCCAATAATTTACTGTAAGCATGATAAACGATGTAGCAAACCATTTGGTTCAAATGCGTGGTAAGTCAACAACAAAAGGGACAGGGAGGAATTATTGCAGTATCAGCCCATATATGGCAGCAATACTTAATGCGCGACCGGACTTGTGCTTCATATAAAGTAAGCAGCTGTCCCGGCGTGAAGTGTCGCCGCACCTTAGCGAGGTGCCTCGTCTGTCCAAACGCCAGATTCTGGCGTGTCGAATAATATGCGCTCCATAATCTGGCGTCGCGTGATAGCAAACGATTGTAACATAAATAATGTATGTATATATCTACATCCGTAATAATGATTGGTTTTGTCTAAATTGGATTTAATAATGTGAACTTGAAACACAAGCGAGCCACGATTGAATTGTAAGCATCCCAATTTATTGTCCATATTTCGAGTAGAGCTAAGTGAGGCCCATTGTTATCGACCTTGTCGTGAACAAAAAATGGATGAAGAAGTTTCTTTGTTTTAATTATTTATTGTTAAATATGAACTTAGAATTAAAAAAAATTATAATTATTACACCTTTAATGCAGAAAATATAGGAAAAAACACGAAGAAGTGCTTGACAGATGCGCCATGAAAGGAAATAAGTGCGAGGAAAAATATATTGAGAATAACTTTCACACACTTACGCCTCAATATCGTCTTCATCTTTTTCGCTGATGGGAGGTATTTTGATCTTGTCACCTTTTCCCACCACAGCTATATCACATTTTAGGTAACCTTTTACACCTGAAGTCGCGTCGTCCGGGTCGGTGAGAAGAGCCCATTTGTGGTAGAACTGATGATCTATTGACAAATAAAGTCAGTATCAATATTCTTATCTATACATGAAGTGTTAAAATATTATCTACTTATTTATAGAATCTTGATAAGGACTGTGGTAATTTCTTTAAACTTTATGTATATATGTATGTATGTATATGTATACGTTTGGCATATTTTGTGTGTATATATATATATATATATATATATATATATATATATATATATATATATATATATATATATATATATATTAAAATAATTTATTTATCGGTATACATCTACACAGTATGACTTATGGTATTAGGTTTGGAAGTTAGTTTTATGTTTTTAATATTTTAATATTTTTGACCGTGGTAAATTCTTTATTTAATAATTTTGTAAGAATTACTACAACTTTAAAAGAACCACCAAAAACTAGGTAAATATAAAAAAATAACAAGGATCTAACATCAGTAACAATATGATATGTTTGTATTTAATATATAAGAGGTGAAAATGGGCACGTCTTTAAAAGTTTAAATCATATTAAAATAAGTTCGTATCTCGCTTTGCTACTCTATATATAAAGTGCTTGCAGCTATTATAGGTAATTTTTAGCATTAATTATGAATGTATTATGTAATTATGAATGTGAAGTATGATATATAATTATTAATTACGCCTTATAATTTCTATGATTATTTAGTATTTTACTTGTTATAGTTGGCTTAATAATCACTAACTGTTATCAGTACGCAAGTACGCTTTAATTTGTACGACAGGAAATTTTGATACTGTTTTAGAATAAACACTTACATTTTATAAATATTTAGGTAAAATAGGACTAAAATAACTGAAAATATATATACAACACGACATATAAAATATTAAGACACATGTAAGAAAAGGATAGGTATTTCGCATTGCGACAATCTTCGTTAACGAAAAGAAATAACAGTTTTATAACAATAAAGGATCGCTACATAAAATAACACGCTATTTATATGTTTGTTTTGAATAAATTTGAATTATGTATAAGTTTAATAACATTCGCTGAGCACAATATGGAAATAGCGTGATTTTTATGTGATCTATAAAACACACTACTAAACACACATCACAACACACTACACTACACATGCATTTATACGCACGGGGAACATACTAAGGGAAACAAAGAGCTAAAGCACAGACATACTGAAGAAAACCGTTCAAGTAGAGAGCAAGTTTGTCGAAAACTCTTACTTTTCGAATCATTATAAAACGTAATGAACTAATGAATCCTTAATTTTTCTCAAGTTACAAATTACCTACTGCTCTCGTATTTTAGGCGAGCTGTAGCAAAAAAAAAAAAAAAAAAAAGATTTCTTATTAAAACTCATCTTATTTATTTATCGTCTGCTACATGCTTCTTAAGCAAAATAGTTATAATTAATTTACTAATAATAACAGTGAGACCTCGTTAAGTGAAATCTCAAGGGATCAGTTATTTTGCTCTCGTATAAAAGTTTCCCATTTTACTAAGTTATGGAGGTTCGGCTATTATAAAAATGTACGTTTACAAAATGTAACTGTACTTATACATTATATATTTATATACGTAAATGTATAACACACCTACAAACATACATATCAATTTTTTGTACGTCCATCTTCTGTGCACAGATTTCCTTTTATTTCTGAGAGAATTATGGTGCAATAGGCTCACCGCGCTGTGCCAGTGCGTTTTGGTGGACTTAGGATGTTCTCAAAATATTTTTCTCTAAGATACATGGGTTCTTTAAGACATTTCCTTTACCGCTGAGCACGTGGTAAATCAGTACTTAAATTGCAATTAACAACTGTGAAATTTACAGCGAACACTTAGCTTAGAAGATACACGGCGCAAGCAGACTTATCTAAGGCTTCTAAGGGAGTCTCTAACACAGGTTCATTCGTTTCCTTAACAAGCAATTTCCAACACATTATGTATTGAATGAAACTTGTTCCATTCATTCCATAGGGAAGATTTTGAATAGTTGCCACCACAGAAATAGTAATAATACAAGACAATAGATATGAATTAGCACTCGATTACTTCCAAAACCGATGTGTATTATAAACATACGCAATGCACAATGATATCTAATGTTTGATATGCCTTTATTAGTTGAATTACACGTCCTTGATGAGTTTTTACAACTAATTATGCTGTAGTTAACTATTATAATAAAATAAATTCACGTACAACTCTCCCCGCGCAACTAAATCACAAAATAGTGAATGATGTGCGTCAACACATCATCGCGCGACAAGATCACGCATCTATGCGACTTCTATTGTCTTATTACCATTTCTGAGGTTGCCACGCTTGACAAACGGGTAGGTAGCTGTAGTTTTTTATTAATTCGAGTTGTTAACGGGAAGACACTGCTGGCATTTCGGATTTCTATTAATTCCTAAAGGATTATTAGAACCTGTTTGATGTAAGAATAATAGATAAATTATGGTTAATATTAAAATAATAAATGGAAATAAGAAATGAAATGAATAAAAACGAGTTAAAGTAGCATTTTCAACAGCAAATCCCCTTCAAATTCAATTTACTAATATTGTTCCTAAATAAGGAATAGCAGATTAGTAATAACTGTAGCCCCTCAAAATGATATTTGTCCTCAAGGTAAAACATATCTTATAAATGCTGTAGCTATTAAAATAAATAAAATAATAACTCCTACTCAAGTATATTTTAAATTAAATGATTCATAATAAATTCCTCGCCCACCACGGGACGATATAGGCTAATGTTTATTTTTACACCGCCACTACACGTGGTAACACGTGACTTTCTTTTGCAGCAACTTAGGGAGGGTTGAAGTGGAACGAGACGAAGACTTTCCTATATTACTTTTATTTTCTAACTTACAAGCTAACTTAACTACTGTGACAATGTGAGTACACAGGAATACTAGACTACTTAACTTACACACTACTTAACTTCTACTGGGATACCTTAACAATTAGACCCAGGCTTTTATACAATGTTGAATATTCTTAAGTCACTTAAGTTAACTGAGTCATGTCTTTAAAGACGTACGCATATACTCGTAACATGCTTAGTGGGCGGTGCTGTAAGGTAGGTTTTATTTTAACTTCCTGATGCCATGTAAGATACCAATAGGCATATATAACTCGTGTTACATACCGTAACTATTATAGTTGAAACAACACAAACAGTTTTTACTGTACAAAGCTCTTTAAAAGCTTAGTACAGTAAAAACGAAGCAAAGCGAAGCTTTTACTATGAAACGCACAATATTTTAATAAAAGCTGTTTTTTTTTTGTAAATAGCAAAATGCAAAGTGGAAGCATCCTAAACTAAAGAAAAATAGATACAGGGTTATCTTGCAACGAGCGGCCAAAATTGCAGTGAAAGTTCAGAATAAGTAATATAGGCAAATGGTGAAAAAAAAATATAATTAATATAATCTCAAATATTCTGTCCTTTCTTCTAAATTCAAAATGCGTGGTAATGCATTATTTTAACAGATTTTACTAAGCACGCACACATGCTGATCTTTGATATCAAATGTTTAACATGTTTTATAACCAACTAAAATGTAGTACAAAATAGAAAAACTGAAAAGTTAAATTTTGAGCTTGCATTAAATATCATCACGTTAAACGTAATTAATTATATTAAGTAATTTAGGTTATTAAGATCTTTAAAGTTATTAAATTCAGTATAAAAGAATATATTAGATTTTATTTTTAATCGGTTGAAGAATCGCACATCGCACTATGATTTAAGGAGCTGCTATGGAGCTTGCCACTTCTTTGTATTTTAATTCAGTTAGTGGTGAAGCCGGCAGGCAACCTCTAACCGAACTTGACCTCCGTTTTTCATTTACAATTTTAGTAAAATATCGTCAATTTTCGAAAAGTTTTATCCTTTTATTAGTCATCATAAAATTATATGAACTTCAACATTATTACTTGTTTCAGTAGTACAATGTTTCCTTTTTTAAATTTAAGCTATGTTTAAGAATTAATTGTCGGTATGTTATCAGTGCAGACTAATCTACTATCCTAATAAGAAATATATATATATATATATATATATATATATATATATATATATATATATATATATATACTAATAATATAGCATGTGTAGTATAATAATATTATAGATAATAATACTTAAGACATGCAAAATTACAAGTTTGAAGATCTAATATAGTTTTGAAGTTATGAAGGGGTCAAAAGTAGCTCGAAATTGTTCGTATAAGATATACACACGGATGGTGTGTCGTCCTTTTCGTTCTGTACTTAGCAGATACAGACCGTGTGTCTAGTTCAACACATTGAGAAAATTGCTTGTTTTGGTGGTTTTTGAATTTATGTAGTTAAAAAGAAAAACTATGTTTTTAAGGAACCACAATATTTTAACTGTCGTTCAATGCAAAGCATGTTAGAATTATATTAGGACTACTGTATGAATGTGATCTAGTAGAAATTTGCCCACTATATATACAAATTATAAAAAGTATTATTTGCACCGCACATATCTACCTGTAATCTAAGCTATTGTACCTACTCTAAGGCAAAACGTTTAATACTTATGTAGTAACACCGGTGGTTGCTGTCAATCCGCTGTCACGTTCTGAAATAGCGTGAAGGTATAGGTAAAAGGTGCAAGGAGGTATTAAAAGTAACAATTGATAAAGGGTTAGAGATAAAAATATTATAAAATAACAGTAACAGGTACAGGCCAGCTCAGCTCGAGTCTCCTCCGGGGAACTCGAGACTCGAGGAATAGGAGCATGGATAGATATTTCATGCAATACTGGCATGAAATAGCAGCGTAATCAGCGGCATTATTTTCGTATGGTGATTGACGAGAACAGGAGACTTTTTATACTGGTAACGGGGATTCCATCAGGGACGAAACATATTTGCATTTTGATTTGAATTGAGAATAGATGCAGATGTGTATGGGCCACAGAATCGATTTGCTGTCAGTTGGACTGTGTATTCATTTCTCATCCTTAGTTCTATAA